GCATAGGATATACATCACATAGGATACACATCGCATAGGATATACATCACATAGGATACACCTCACATAGGATACATAGGATGTACCTCGCATAGGATACACCTCGCATAGGATATACCTCGCATAGGATACACCTCGCATAGGATATACCTCGCATAGGATACACCTCGCATAGGATATACAGTACATCGCATAGGATACACCATCACATAGGATATACCTCACATAGGATATACATCACATAGGATACACCTCGCATAGGATATACCTCACATAGGATATACACCTCGCATAGGATATACATCGCATAGGATACACATCACATAGGATATACCTCGCATAGGATACACCTCGCATAGGATATACATCACATAGGATATACATCGCATAGGATATACATCGCATAGGATATACATCGCATAGGGTACTGTCAGGGCAGTGGCCGAGGAACGGACAGGCAGGCCTAACAATGTAACGCACTGGCTGACGACAACCACTACCCACAGACCGAAGTCCCTCAGGGCGCGGAGTCTAAGTCCCAGGCTGCCCTTCACCAGGGCCCCTGATGGTGGGGATGGACTTGACGCAGCCAGGAACCAGGTCGCGGCCCCCGAGACACCTCAGCTGCGGCAATGGCCGCCGCCAATGGCGTGTAGCTGGTGGAAGAGACAAAAGAGTAGTCAGACAAGCCGGGTCAACAACAACAGGACAAAACAGTACAGGACAGCAGACGAGAATCACAGGTCACGAGCCGGGTTCAGCAACAGAGGGTCAGATCAAAGGAGAATACAAAGAATAGTCAAGTCACAAGCCGAATCAGATACCAGGAGAGTCACGAAAGTCAGAACAGAGTAATAGCAACACAAAGACACAAGACACAAGTGCAAAGAGCATGTGCGGGCCACAGGCTTATATGTCATCAGCCACACCCCTCTGGGGATGGACCACAGAGACCTGAAGGCATAAAAGGATTCCCCATCATGCACAGCAGAATCCAAGATGGACGCCAGCACATGGAGTAACATAACCTCAGGGAAAAGGTAGGACCTTGACAGATACACATTGCATAGGATATACCTCGCATAGGATATACCTCGCATAGGATATACATCACATAGGATATACATCGCATAGGATATACCTCACATAGGATGTACCTTGCGTAGGATATATACAGTTGTGTTGAAAATAATAGCAGTCAGACATCACTAACCGGATCAATCACTGTTTTTGGTAGAAATGATATTTCTACATGGCAAATAATTTCCTAGCAGGTGTAGTAGAGGAATAGAAATCCAACAGACCCAACAGTCATGACATGCATGCTGCTGATTCTGTGTCATTGAATCACTCATTGAAAGGGGCGTGTTCACAATAATAGCCGTGTGGAGTTCTATTAGTGAGGTCATTCATTCTTTGATAAACAGGTGGCAATTATTGCCCTTATTTAAGGAAGGAAGGCAGCAAATGTTGGACATGCTGGTTACAGTGCATTTCTCTCTGAAATTCTGAGGAAAATGGGTCGTTCCAGACATTGTTCAGAAGAACAGCGTACCTTGATTAAAAAGTTGATTGGAGAGAGGAAAACATATAAAGAAGTGCAGAAAATGATCGACTGCTCAGCTAAAATGATGGCAAATGCTTTAAAATGGCAACCAAAACCTGAAAGACGTGGAAGAAAGCGAAAAACTACCATTGGAATGGATAGAAGAATAGCCAAAATGGGGCAGACTCAGCCAACAATCAGCTCCAGGAAGATGAAAGAAGGTGTGACGTTCCCTGTGAGGACTGTTACAATTAGAAGACGCCTATGTGAAGCCAAGCTATCTGCAAGAAGTCCCCGCAAAGTCCCACTGTTGGGAAAAACGACGTGCTGAAGAGGTTACAATCTGCCAAAGAGCACATTGACCGGCCTAAAGAGAAAATGGCGCAACATTTTGTAGACTGATGAAAGTAAGATTGTTCTTTTTGGGTCTAGTGGTGGCGGAGACAGTTTGTCAGACGACCCCCCAAAACACTGAATTCAAGCCACAGTACACTGTGAAGACAGTGAAGCATGGTGGTGCAAGCATCATGATATGGGGATGTTTCTCATACTACGGTGTTGGGCCTATTTATCGCATACCAGGGATCATGGATCAGTTTGAATCCATCAGAATACTTGAAGAGGTCATGCTGCCTTATGCTGAAGAGGAAATGCCCTTGAAATGGGTGTTCCAACAAGGCAACGACCCCAAACACACCAGTAAACGGGCAACATCTTGGTTCCAGACCAACAAGATGGACGTTATGGAGTGGCCAGCCCAATCCCGGATCTTCATCCAATAGAAAACTTGTGGGGTGACATCAAAAATGCCGTTTCTGAGGCAAAACCAAGAAATAGAGAAGAACTGTGGAATGTGGTCCAATCATCCTGGGCTGGAATACCTGATCACAGGGGCCAGAAGTTGGGGGACTCCATGCAACACAGATGTACAGCAGTTCTCAGAAAACAGTGCGACTACAACCAAATATTAAGTGATTCAAAGGAAATCAAAATCTTCAAACATTTCTCAGTTTATATAGTGAATGTTTGAGTTTGTAAAGAAGAATACAAACACTGCGATTTTTTTTTGAACTGTCTAATATTTACTTTTCTTCCATTGTTTTAGAGGAACAACACAAATTTGATGTATTTTTCTTCATGTTGTGATTTGGAATAGAATGTGTCGTGTTCCCAATGCATTTGTGTGGATGGAAATAAAAGCTATTAGAAGGATTTTCAGCTTTATTCACTTTTTTCAACTCACTGCTATTATTTTGAACACAACTGTACATCACATAGGATACACCTCACATAGGATACACCTCACATAGGATATACCTCACATAGGATACACCTCACATAGGATATACTGTATATACCATAAAATATACTCTTTGTAAATGATAAACTAACTGTTAAACACATATATTTATTACCTGGTATTCAGGACTGTTTTTAGAAGAGTCTTAGGTTAGGTACACACTATTGTCCCCTTTTAATCTAAACACACAAATTAGCCCTCAACACAACTTTGATGTACTCTAAAAATAAGGTTGGGTTTTGATTTTGTCCAAAATACATCTGTGGGAATTTCTTTCAGGTGTTATGATAATTATGTAACATTTTGGGAAAAATATACATCCTAATAATCCAGCACTGGAGGCCAGTATGGCAAATACCTCCAAAGCCACCATGTATTTCCCTCTGGTGCTCAGATAGGCTGGGATCATGGCAATCCAGACACTGCAGAACACCAGCATGCTGAAGGTGATGTACTTGGCCTCGTTAAAACTGTCCGGTAATGTCCTCACCATGAAAGCCAGAATAAAACTCACAGCGGCTAGAAACCCCATATAACCCAACATAGAGTAGAAGCCGATAACTGACCCCTTCATTACACTGAATGATGATCTTTCCAGGATAGGAGTCCATGTCATACTCTTGGTAAGGAGGAGACACTGACAGCCAAATGACACAGATCACAACTTGGACAGAGGAACAGATTATGACAACAGAGTTAGAAATCTTCTCCCCCAACCACTTCCTCCAGTAGCTGCCAGGTTTGGAGGCCTTGAAGGCAATGCAGACGGTGATGGTCTTGGCCAGAACACAAGAGACAGCAATGGAGAAGAAGACCCCAAATGACACTTGTCTCAGCATGCAGGTTATATCCACAGGACGTCCGAGGAACAAGAAGATGCAGAGGAAGCTCAGCAAGATGGAGGTCAGGAGGACGAAGCTCACAGTCCAGTTATTGGCTTTCACTACTGGAGTGTCCCGGAATAAAATGAACAATGTCAGTATATAGAGAGTTCCAGCAGAACATAATATAGAGACACCATAGAAAGCTAGAGCTATGATATTTGTCTCGTAGAGATAGTCATACGTTTTGGGAATACAGATTACTCGTCTCTCATCTGGCCAATGGTCGTCAGGACATTTGTGGCAGATCTCACTGTCTGTGAAGGAAGAACAGAATACAATATGCCACAAATTATTACAATTATTAACTGATTAAAGATAACAAAATAACATTTTTGAGCATCTGTTCTTTAATGATTGTGCGTTGGTATTTGTCACCTGATACATTGGAGATTTCCCCATCAGAGCACGGCACACAGTGATAGCAGCAGGAATGGATTCCTCCAGTTGGACCTTTCCTGTGTCCCGGAGGACACGGCTCATTGCAGCGAGCTAGGGGAAACTGAAAAAAAACATTTTTTTTTGGTCAGAATTAGAAAAATACTTCAGGTTCTCATACATGTAGGAAAACAACTGTTTTTTGTACACACTAAAATAATGTACGTGTGGGGAGGGGCAGCACGGTGCGGGCAGTAAAAACACAGAGTCTGGTTTCAGTAAAACTTGGAACTTGTATTAAACAGAATGCCAATGTCACAAACACCTTGGCGGGAGAGCACCGCTAGGGAAATAAATCTCAGTTCAATGTAGTCAGATGTGGAGGTGGTGCCAACAATGGCTGTTTCAGAGGGTGAAGCGCGCCCTGGCCGATCCCAAGAGGGAAGCTCCTTTCCAGGACAGCAAGTCCTTAATCTTTCCCTTCTCATCAGGAACCTTTCCCTACAGCTAGTTACTTTTCCTAACAAATAGGGTCTCTGTCACGGTCAGGCAGAAGTTGGTATTAGGCAGAAGCGTAGTCGAGAAACAAGACAAGGTTGGTAATGAGCAGCTGTAGGTTGCGATCAGGCAAAAACGTAGTCGAGAACAAGCCAAGGTCGGTAATGACCAGTCGCAGGTTGGGATCATCAGGCGTGATCGAGAACAAGCCAAGGTCGGTAATGAGTCGAGGTTGGGATCAAGCAGAAGGTCGGTAATGAGGTTCAGTAATGATCAGTCGCAGGTTGGGATCAGGCAGAAGCGTAGTCGAGAACAACAAGCCAAGGTCGGTAATGAGCAGTCCAAGCAGGTTGGGATCGGCAGTCGCAGAAGCGTAGTCGAGAACAAGCCAAGGTCGGTAATGACCAGTCTCAGGTTGGGATCAGGCAGAAGCGTAGTCGAGAACAAGCCAAGGTCGGTAATGAGCAGTCGCAGGTTGGGATCAGGCAGAAGCGTAGTCGAGAACAAGCCAAGGTCGGTAATGAGCAGTCGCAGGTTGGGATCAGCAGAAGCGTAGTCGAGAACAAATAAGCCCAAGGTCGGTAATGAGCAGTCGCAGGTTGGGATCAGGCAGAAGCGTAGTCGAGAACAAGCCAAGGTCGGTAATGAGCAGTCACAGGTTGGGATCAGGCAGAAGCGTAGTCGAGAACAAGACAAGGTCTTGGTAATGAGCCAGCAGGTTGGGATCAGGCAGAAGCGTAGTCGAGAACAAGACAAGGTTGGTAATGACCAGTCTCAGGTGGGATCAGGAGAAGCGTAATCGAGAACAAGCCAAGGTTGGTAATGCGCAGTCGCAGGTTGGGATCAGGCAGAAGCATAGTCGAGAACAAGCCAAGGTCAGTAATGAGCAGCCACAGGTTGGGATCAGGCAGAAGCATAGTCGAGAACAAGACAAGGTCGGTAATGAGCAGTCGCAGGTTGGGATCAGGCAGAAGCGTAGTCGAGAACAGGCCAAGGTCGGTAATGAGCAGTCGCAGGTTGGGATCAAGCAGAAGCGTAGTCGAGAACAAGCCAAGATCAGTAATGAGCAGCCACAGGTTGGGATCAGGCAGAAGCGTAGTCGAGAACAAGCCAAGGTCGGTAATGACCAGTCTCAGGTTGGGATCAGGTAGAAGCGAATAATCGAGAACAAGCCAAGGTCGGTAAGGAGCAGTCGCAGGTTGGGGATCAGGCAGAAGCATAGTCGAGAACAAGCCAAGGTCGGTAAGGAGCAGTCACAGGTTGGGATCAGGCAGAAGCGTAGTCGAGAACAAGCCAAGGTCAGTAATGAGCAGTCTCAGGTTGGGATCAGGCAGAAGCGTAGTCGAAAACAAGCCAAGGTTGGTAATGAGCAGTCTCAGGTTGGGATCAGGCAGAAGCGTAGTCAAGGAACAAGCTAAGGTCGGTAATGACCAGTCTCAGGTTGGGATCAGGCAGAAGCATAGTCGAGAACAAGCCAAAGCCAAGGTCGGTAATGACCAGTCTCAGGTTGGGATCAGGCAGAATCGTAGTCGAGAACAAGCCAAGGTCGGTAACGACCAGTCTCAGTTTGGATGGGAATCAGGCAGAAAACTGAGCGTAGTTGAGAACAAGCCAAGGTCGGTAATGAGCAGTCTCAGGTGGGATCAGGCAGAAGCGTAGTCAAGAACAAGCCAAGGTCGTGTAATGACAGTTCTCAGGTTGGGATCAGGCAGAAGCGTAGTTGAGAACAAGCCAAAGGTCAGTAATGACCGGTCTCAGGTTGGTATCATGAAATCAGAAGCGTAGCCGAAAACAAGCCAAGGTCGGTAATGAGCAGTCGCAGGTTGGATCAGGCAGAAGCGTAGTCGAGACAAGCAAGGTTGGTAATGACGCAGCTGCAGGTTGGGATCAGGCAGAAGCGATAGTCGAGAACTAACGCCAAGGGTCAATAAAAAAGTGATAGCAAAATAGGAATAATAAACCCAAACCTGGGCCTTCTGCGGTGAGTAGCAATGTTTCTTCTTGCTGAGCCACCTGCTGGACAGCTCCCTTGACAACTATTTGGATGATCCTATCTTGACCTTGTTTTTCATGAACCTTGAACCCCTTGCTCCTCCCATGAACTTCCTGATATAAGCCATGTCTCTGCACTTCCTGTTTGCCAGATTATTGTGCTCTCCAGCCAGTATTTTGCTCCTTGCCTTCTCTGTTATTATTCATATTTTGCTATCACTTTTTATTGACCCTTGGCTTGTTCTCGACTACGCTTCTGCCTGATCCCCGACCTTGGCTTGTTCTCGACCCTGCAGCTGCTGCTCATTACCAACCTTGGCTTGTTCTCGACTACGCTTCTGCCTGATCCCAACCTGCGACTGCTCATTACCGACCTTGGCTTGTTTTCGGCTACGCTTCTGCCTGATCCCAACCTGAGACCGGTCATTACTGACCTTGGCTTGTTCTCAACTACGCTTCTGCCTGATCCCAACCTGAGACTGCTCATTACCGACCTTGGCTTGTTCTCGACTACGCTTCTGCCTGATCCCAACCTGAGACTGCTCATTACCGACCTTGGCTTGTTTCTCAACTACGCTTCTGCCTGATCCCAAACTGAGACTGGTCGTTACCGACCTTGGCTTGTTCTCGACTACGATTCTTCTGCCTGATCCCAACCTGAGACTGGTCATTACCGACCTTGGCTTTGGCTTGTTCTCGACTATGCTTCTGCCTGATCCCAACCTGAGACTGGTCATTACCGACCTTAGCTTGTTCTTGACTACGCTTCTGCCTGATCCCAACCTGAGACTGCTCATTACCAACCTTGGCTTGTTTTCGACTACGCTTCTGCCTGATCCCAACCTGAGACTGCTCATTACTGACCTTGGCTTGTTCTCGACTACGCTTCTGCCTGATCCCAACCTGTGACTGCTCCTTACCGACCTTGGCTTGTTCTCGACTATGCTTCTGCCTGATCCCAACCTGCGACTGCTCCTTACCGACCTTGGCTTGTTCTCGATACGCTTCTACCTGATCCCAACCTGAGACTGGTCATTACCGACCTTGGCTTGTTCTCGACTACGCTTCTGCCTGATCCCAACCTGTGGCTGCTCATTACTGATCTTGGCTTGTTCTCGACTACGCTTCTGCTGATCCCAACCTGCGACTGCTCATTACCGACCTTGGCCTGTTCTCGACTACGCTTCTGCCTGATCCCAACCTGCGACTGCTCATTACCGACCTTGGCTTGTTCTCGACTATGCTCATTACCGACCTTGGCTTCTGCCTGATCCCAACCTGTGGCTGCTCATTACTGACCTTGGCTTGTTCTCGACTATGCTTCTGCCTGATCCCAACCTGCGACTGCTCATTACCAACCTTGGCTTGTTCTCGATTACGCTTCTGCCTGATCCCAACCTGAGACTGGTCATTACCAACCTTGGCTTGTTCTCGACTACGCTTCTGCCTGATCCCAACCTGTGGACTGGTCATTACCGACCTTGGCTTGTTCTCGACTACGCTTCTGCCTGATCCCAACCTGTGACTGCTCATTACCGACCTTGGCTTGTTCTCGACTACGCTTCTGCCTGATCCCAACCTGCGACTGCTCATTACCGACCTTGGCTTGTTCTCTCGACTACGCTTCTGCCTGATCCCAACCTGCGACTGCGCATTACCGACCTTGGCTTGTTCTCGACTACGCTTCTGCCTGATCCCAACCTGTGACTGCTCATTACCGACCTTGGCTTGTTCTCGACTACGCTTCTGCCTGATCCCAACCTGACTGCCGACCTCTTACCCGACCTTGGCTTGTTCTCGACTACGCTTCTGCCTGATCCCAACCTGGGACTGCTCATTACCGACCTTGGCTTGTTCTCGACTACGCTTCTGCTTCTGCCTGATCCCAACCTGCGACTGCTCATTACCGACCTTGGCTTGTTCTCGACTACGCTTCTGCCTGATCCCAACCTGAGACTGGTCATTACCGACCTTGGCTTGTTCTCGATCACGCTTCGTTTTTGCGACTGCTCATCGCAACTACTTGTTCTCGACTACGCTCATTGACCAACCTGTCTTTACCATCCTTGTCTTGTTCTCGACTACGCTTCTGCCTAATACCAACTTCTGCCTGACCGTGACAGAGACCCTATTTGTTAGGAAAAGTAACTAGCTGTAGGGAAAGGTTCCTGATGAGAAGGGAAAGATTAAGGACTTGCTGTCCTGGAAAGGAGCTTCCCTCTTGGGATCGGCCAGGACCCAGGGCGCGCTTCACCCTCTGAAACAGCCATTGTTGGCACCACCTCCACATCTGACTACATTGAACTGAGATTTATTTCCCTAGCGGTGCTCTCCCGCCAAGGTGTTTGTGACATTGGCATTCTGTTTAATACAAATACAAGTTCCAAGTTTTACTGAAACCAGACTCTGTGTTTTTACTGCCCGCACCGTGCTGCCCCTCCCCACACGTACATTATTTTAGTGTGTACAAAAAACAGTTTGTTTTCCTACATGTATGAGAACCTGAAGTATTTTTCTCTAATTCTGACCAAAAAAAAAAATGTTTTTTTTTCAGTTTCCCTAGCTCGCTGCAATGAGCCGTGTCCTCCGGGACACAGGAAAGGTCCAACTGGAGGAATCCATTCCTGCTGCTATCACTGTGTGCCGTGCTCTGATGGGGAAATCTTCAATGTATCAGGTGACAAATACCAGCGCACAATCATTAAAGAACAGATGCTCAAAATGTTATTTTGTTATCTTTTAATCAGTTAATAAATTGTAATAATTTGTGGCATATTGTATTCTGTTCTTCCTTCTCCACAGACAGTGAGATCTGCCACAAATGTCCTGACGACCATTGGCCAGATGAGAGACGAGTAATCTGTATTCCCAAAACGTATGACTATCTCTCCGAGACAAATATCATAGCTCTAGCTTTCTATGGTGTCTCTATATTATGTTCTGCTGGAACTCTCTATATACTGACATTGTTCATTTTATTCCGGGACACTCCAGTAGTGAAAGCCAATAACTGGACTGTGAGCTTCGTCCTCCTGACCTCCATCTTGCTGAGCTTCCTCTGCATCTTCTTGTTCCTCGGACGTCCTGTGGATATAACCTGCATGCTGAGACAAATGTGTCATTTGGGGTCTTCTTCTCCATTGCTGTCTCTTGTGTTCTGGCCAAGACCATCACCGTCTGCATTGCCTTCAAGGCCTCCAAACCTGGCAGCTACTGGAGGAAGTGGTTGGGGGAGAAGATTTCTAACTCTGTTGTCATAATCTGTTCCTCTGTCCAAGTTGTGATCTGTGTCATTTGGCTGTCAGTGTCTCCTCCTTACCAAGAGTATGACATGGACTCCTATCCTGGAAAGATCGTCATTCAGTGTAATGAAGGGTCAGTTATCGGCTTCTACTCTATGTTGGGTTATATGGGGTTTCTAGCCGCTGTGAGTTTTATTCTGGCTTTCATGGTGAGGACATTACCGGACAGTTTTAACGAGGCCAAGTACATCACCTTCAGCATGCTGGTGTTCTGCAGTGTCTGGATTGCCATGATCCCAGCCTATCTGAGCACCAGAGGGAAATACATGGTGGCTTGGAGGTATTTGCCATACTGGCCTCCAGTGCTGGATTATTAGGATGTATATTTTTCCTAAAATGTTACATAATTATCATAACACCTGAAAGAAATTCCCACAGATGTATTTTGGACAAAATCAAAACCCAACCTTATTTTTAGAGTACATCAAAGTTGTGTTGAGGGCTTAATTTGTGTGTTTAGATTAAAAGGGGACAATAGTGTGTACCTAACCTAAGACTCTTCTAAAAACAGTCCTGAATACCAGGTAATAAATATATGTGTTTAACAGTTAGTTTATCATTTACAAAGAGTATATTTTATATGGTATATACAGTATATATCCTATGTGAGGTGTCCTATGTGAGGTGTATCCTATGTGAGGTGTATCCTATGTGAGGTGTATCCTATGTGATGTACAGTTGTGTTCAAAATAATAGCAGTGAGTTGAAAAAAGTGAATAAAGCTGAAAATCCTTCTAATAGCTTTTATTTCCATCCACACAACATTGGGAACACGACACATTCTATTCCAAATCACAACATGAAGAAAAATACATCAAATTTGTGTTGTTCCTCTAAAACAATGGAAGAAAAGTAAATATTAGACAGTTCAAAAAAATCGCAGTGTTTGTATTCTTCTTTACAAACTCAAACATTCACTATATAAACTGAGAAATGTTTTGAAGATTTTGATTTCCTTTGAATCACTTAATATTTGGTTGTAGTCGCACTGTTTCTGAGAACTGCTGTACATCTGTGTTGCATGGAGTCCCCCAACTTCTGGCCCCTGTGATCAGGTATTCCAGCCCAGGATGATTGGACCACATTCCACAGTTCTTCTCTATTTCTTGGTTTTGCCTCAGAAACGGCATTTTTGATGTCACCCCACAAGTTTTCTATTGGATGAAGATCCGGGGATTGGGCTGGCCACTCCATAACGTCCATCTTGTTGGTCTGGAACCAAGATGTTGCCCGTTTACTGGTGTGTTTGGGGTCGTTGCCTTGTTGGAACACCCATTTCAAGGCATTTCCTCTTCAGCATAAGGCAGCATGACCTCTTCAAGTATTCTGATGGATTCAAACTGATCCATGATCCCTGGTATGCGATAAATAGGCCCAACACCGTAGTATGAGAAACATCCCCATATCATGATGCTTGCACCACCATGCTTCACTGTCTTCACAGTGTACTGTGGCTTGAATTCAGTGTTTGGGGGTCGTCTGACAAACTGTCTCCGCCCACTAGACCCAAAAAGAACAATCTTACTTTCATCAGTCCACAAAATGTTGCGCCATTTCTCTTTAGGCCGGTCAATGTGCTCTTTGGCAGATTGTAACCTCTTCAGCACACGTCTTTTTCCCAACAGTGGGACTTTGCGGGGACTTCTTGCAGATAGCTTGGCTTCACATAGGCGTCTTCTAATTGTAACAGTCCTCACAGGGAACGTCACACCTTCTTTCATCTTTTCCTGGAGCTGATTGTTGGCTGAGTCTGCCCCATTTTGGCTATTCTTCTATCCATTCCAATGGTAGTTTTTCGCTTTCTTCCACGTCTTTCAGGTTTTGGTTGCCATTTTAAAGCATTTGCCATCATTTTAGCTGAGCAGTCGATCATTTTCTGCACTTCTTTATATGTTTTCCTCTCTCCAATCAACTTTTTAATCAAGGTACGCTGTTCTTCTGAACAATGTCTGGAACGACCCATTTTCCTCAGAATTTCAGAGAGAAATGCACTGTAACCAGCATGTCCAACATTTGCTGCCTTCCTTCCTTAAATAAGGGCAATAATTGCCACCTGTTTATCAAAGAATGAATGACCTCACTAATAGAACTCCACACGGCTATTATTGTGAACACGCCCCTTTCAATGAGTGATTCAATGACACAGAATCAGCAGCATGCATGTCATGACTGTTGGGTCTGTTGGATTTCTATTCCTCTACTACACCTGCTAGGAAATTATTTGCCATGTAGAAATATCATTTCCTACCAAAAAACAGTGATTGATCCGGTTAGTGATGTCTGACTGCTAGTATTTTCAACACAACTGTATATCCTACGCAAGGTACATCCTATGTGAGGTATATCCTATGCGATGTATATCCTATGTGATGTATATCCTATGCGAGGTGATATCCTATGCGAGGTGTATATCCTATATGCAATGTGTATCTGTCAAGGTCCTACCTTTTCCCTGAGGTTATGTTACTCCATGTGCTGGCGTCCATCTTGGATTCTGCTGTGCATGATGGAAATCCTTTTATGCCTTCAGGTCTCTGTGGTCCATCCCCCAGAGGGGTGTGGCTGATGACATATAAGCCTGTGGCCCGCACATGCTCTTTGCACTTGTGTCTTGTGTCTTTGTGTTGCTATTACTCTGTTCTGACTTTCGTGACTCTCCTGGTATCTGATTCGGCTTGTGACTTGACTATTCTTTGTATTCTCCTTTGATCTGACCCTCTGTTGCTGAACCCGGCTCGTGACCTGTGATTCTCGTCTGCTGTCCTGTACTGTTTTGTCCTGTTGTTGTTGACCCGGCTTGTCTGACTACTCTTTTGTCTCTTCCACCAGCTACACGCCATTGGCGGCGGCCATTGCCGCAGCTGAGGTGTCTCGGGGGCCGCGACCTGGTTCCTGGCTGCGTCAAGTCCATCCCCACCATCAGGGGCCCTGGTGAAGGGCAGCCTGGGACTTAGACTCCGCGCCCTGAGGGACTTCGGTCTGTGGGTAGTGGTTGTCGTCAGCCAGTGCGTTACATTGTTAGGCCTGCCTGTCCGTTTCCCTCGGCCACTGCCCTGACAGTACCCTATGCGAGGTATATCCTATGCGATGTATATCCTATGCGATGTGTATCCTATGTGATGTATATCCTATGCGAGGTGTATCCTATGCGAGGTATATCCTATGCGATGTGTATCCTATGTGATGTATATCCTATGCGATGTATATCCTATGCGATGTATATCCTATGTGAGGTGTATATCCTATGTGATGTATATCCTATGTGATGTATATCCTATGCGAGGTGTATCCTATGCGAGGTATATCCTATGCGAGGTGTATCCTATGCGAGGTATATCCTATGCGATGTGTATCCTATGTGATGTATATCCTATGCGAGGTGTATCCTATGCGAGGTACATCCTATGTATCCTATGTGAGGTGTATCCTATGTGAGGTATATCCTATGTATCCTATGTGAGGTGTATCCTATGTGATGTATATCCTATGTGATGTGTATCCTATGTGAGGTGTATCCTATGTGAGGTATATCCTATGTATCCTATGTGAGGTATATCCTATGTATCCTATGTGAGGTATATCCTATGTATCCAATGAGGTGTATCCTATGCGAGGTGTATCCTATGTGATGGTGTATCCTATGTGGGGGAAAGCTGATTAAGCACTTAATATATTCTTTTGTTATATGATCTGCTGTTCTTTAGATTCAAATGGGGTTGGAGTCCAGATATCAATTGGACTAGTATATCTTCCTCTATAGCATGTATTCCTCTATAGTATGTTCTTCCTCTATAGTATATCTTCCTCTATGTATATCTTCCTCTATAGTATGTCTTCCTCTATAGCATGTCTTCCTCTATAGTATATCTTCCTCTATGTATATCTTCCTCTATAGTGAGGTCTTCCTCTATAGTATGTCTTCCTCTATAGTATGTCTTCCTCTATAGTATGTCTTCCTCTATAGCATGTCTTATCCTCTATAGTAGGTCTTCCTCTATAGTATGTCTTCCTCTTATAGCATGTCTTCCTCTTATAGTATATCTTCCTCTATGTATGTTTCCTCTATTAGTATGTCTTCCTCTATAGTATGTCTTCCTCTATAGTCTTCCTCTATAGCATTAATCTTCCTCTATAGTATGTCTTCCTCTATATATGTCTTCCTTCTATAGTATGTCTTCCTCTATAGTATGTTTCCTCTATAGTATATCTTCCTCTATAGTATATCTTCCTCTTAGCATGTCTTCCTCTATAGTATATCTTCCTCTATAGTATGTCTTCCTCTATAGTATATCTTCCTCTATAGTATATCTTCCTCTATAGTATATCTTCCTCTATAGTATATCTCTCCTCTTTCTTCTCTATAGTATGTCTTCCTCTATAGTATGTCTTCCTCTATAGTATATCTTCCTCTATAGCATGTCTTCC